GCAGGGAGGCGTTTTGTTTCTCAGTTAAGATTCCTCTGGATCAAGGGTGTAACTTTGTGATGAAAGTTGGTGGGGACAGTCTAAGGGTGGTGGATCTACAGTTACTCGACATAAACTCTTTCAATAGGGTTTATATTTTCCAAAATTGAGCTCAAACATATATTTATTGAATGCTTTCCTATTGTTGAGAACACAAAATACACTGATTTTTATATCTATGGGTGGTTAGACTTACTTAGACTTAGACAGACTTTATTATAATTTTGTACACAAAGATTGTATACAAAAAGAAATTTCATTAAGTACAGCTCTCAAGACATTTTTATGGCAGCAGAGATAATGTAAACATACGACTGTATGTTATTTACAGTTCCAACATTCAGGGTTTTTTTTTTTTTTTAGAAAAAAAAGTCAGACATTGTATTAAAAAAAGGGTGAATAACAGCCGATTCCAATACCAACAGCAATATATCATGCCTCCCTAGTATGAACACAATTTCAGTTTCAATTATCCATCCATCCAGAAAGATGGGGATTAGGGGATGGATGTTTTCCCTTTCAGCTACATCAGTGATTATCTTCCTTCAAAAGCAAAAAAATCTGAAAAAGCGTTCGACCGTGTTGATTGGCAATTTCTTAAACATACACTAATTGAGATGGGCTTTGGTGAAACATTCGTTAGTTGGGTTATGTTATTTTATAAAAATTCTAAATCCAAGGTTAGAGTTAATGGGTGTTGTTCAGAATTTTTCAATGTGGAGCGAGGAGTGCAGTAGGGCGATTCGTTGTCCCCTATTTTGTTCGCCCTGAGTATCGAACCTTTGGCAGAGGCCATATGTCGAGACGATCACATACAAGGAATCAGGGATGGGAAGAGGGCAATTCATAAAATTGCCCTCTTCCCTGATGATATTTTATTATTTTTAAAACACCCTCTTATATCAGTCCCCAAACTCATGCATTGCTTAAAGGAATATGGTGACATATCTGGATACAAAATTAACCAAAGTAACTCAGAAGCATTAATGACGTTGGGCCAACGGCCAAGCCAACTTAGTGAGATTTTTCATTGGTCAGAAAAGGGTTTCAGGTATTTAGGGATAATTCTTACACCCAAACCTTCACAACTGTTCGATGCTAATTACAACAAATTGATAAAGAAAATCAAAATTGACTTGTCCAGATGGGAGGTCCTACCCTTGTCCCTATATGGCAGAGTGGAAACTGTTAGAATGAACCTGCTTCCTCGTCTTCTGTTCTTGTTTCAATCTCTGCCAGTAAGAGTCCCATTCTCAACATAAACCATACTCAGCAAATTAAAATCTCAATTTATTTGGCAACAAAAAAGACCAAGAATTAGACTTAAAAAACTTCATTTACCCAAAAACAGGGGTGGTTTAGCTCTACCCAATTTAAAATGGTATTATTGGGCAGCGCAGTTATCGGCCATTGTGACTTGGATTGAAGGGGATGAGGAAGCAAAATGGCTTCAAATAGAACGGGGTGAAACTAAAGGTATACAATTATCTACTCTTCCCTTCCTAGATATCAGAACTGTTAATAAAATGAAAATTGGAAATGAATGGACCAAACACACTTTAAAAATATGGACAGAGGTTAAAAAGATGCTTAGAGATACAGGGTCAGTCTCCAGAGCTATGCCTATTGTGGGTAATATAGACTTTTCCCCTTCCACATGGGTCCAAGGCTTTAAGAGATGGGCAGCTAAAGGTCTTAAAATATTAAACCAATTATTCTATGGGGCTGACTTAAAGTCCTTTGCACAACTTCAAAAACAGTTTGATCTCCCCGCAAATTATTTATATAGATATCTGCAGATTAGGCACTACATTACTAGTCACAAGGAACGTAATAGACTTAATAGAAACCCAAATGATATAGAACAATATTTTATTACTATTGGAGAAAAGACCTTTCCAACCCGGAAACATGTTTCACATTTCTACAAAATTCTCTCATCTAATAATTATCAAAATATAATGTAAAAGAAGACTGGGAATTAGAATCCAATTCTATAATAGAAGGACAAATTGTGCGAAGGCAGTCACAAAGGAACTAACAGCCAAATGTGGAAAGAATTCATTTGAAAAATTTTAATAAGATTTTTTCGCACCCCGTTTTTAATTTCTAGATTTGTCAAAAATCCTTCAGCAGCCCTATGTTGGAGACGGTGTGGGAAGATTGGTGACCATACGCACATTCTGTGGGACTGTCCGGTTATCAGTGAGTACTGGAAGGGGATTAGGGATGAAATAGAGACAATTATAAACAGAGAAATACCTTCAAATGCTTTGTTTTATTTACAAAATATAATACCAGACTATTTTAATGTAGACCAAAAGTATATTTTGCACATTTTACTATTAGTAGCTAAAAAAACTATAACGGCTAACTGGAGGCAAGTATTGTCACCAACTATAGCAGAGTGGAAGAAAAGGGTAAAACAAGTGAATATGTTGGAAAAAATGATCGCATGTTTACAACTCAAAGTGGACAAGTTCAATCAAAGATGGCATTTGGTGAATGCTCCCCCATCGGTATTACTAAGGTATGTACTTGAATATGTATATGTATGTGTATGTATACATGTAGGTGGGTATATATTATATGTATAATTTTTTGCTGTTCGTTTACTGTATGTTGTATTTTTGGCCTGTGGGTGAGCACCATGGAGGGGAGGGGGAGGGGTGTGGGTTTGTGTGTATGTATATGTACATATGGTAGTATGTATGTACAGTTCTCTCTTGTAGGGTATTCAAAGTTTCATGTGACCTGGTTTATCGTGCTGCATTTATGTTGAAATATTGTATATGTGGCATCAGTATTTCTGTTATTGATTTCATTGCTATTGGCTCAGGGAATGTTCTTTTGT